TTAAGTCAGAGTCCCTTCTGAGTCAAAAAGCAATGAGTTCCACTTTCTGCATTGGTATTAAAGTGGGTTGGTCCTTAGTTTCTCTGTTCTGCACTGAAACATCCCTAAATAACAATGATGGGGAGTCTGGACGTGTCAGAGATTGGAAAGATTGATGTCTCAAGACATTTTGGGGTGCATATGTATGGGGGAAGGGGCAGGTCAGGCCTTGTCCTGGCAAGGTGATGCACTGCCCTGTACACTCCTCCTGCCCTAGAACCTGTATCCCAGCCTGGCAGTGGCTGCCAATCCCTAGCACACCAGAGGCAACACTCCATACCCACCAACCCAGCTCCTGAGTGGCCACATGACCAGAAGTCCGACTTCGGGGATGGCCTAGGAAGGCCAAGCTGTATTTAAGGCTGAACACGAGGCAAGCGTTATGTCTTGACCCTATCTTCTCTTGAAACTTCTACCTGAGCACTGCTGGAACCCAGTAGTGGGTAGCTGTATGCATCCTATTCTATATCTTTCCTGTCTTTCTCTCTTTCTCCTTCTACTAACTTCCTCTTCTTGGAATTTTTGAGTAACTTACAACTGAATAGGCTTAGAGTTTGCTAAGTTGAATGGACCAAGTTAATGCTTTGGGAAGTGTTTCATATTGATTGAATTGTTGCTCTAAACATTTTGCTAAAGTTCTCTGATTATCTAAAGATGCCAATAAAGTATTTGTTGTTGCTTAGACCTTTTGAGCATATCTTGTCAGTATTTCTCTCATGTGCCTAACTCAAGAGTACATAAACAACAGTAAGCTCTTCTAAAGGTCTCATCAGACAAGTTTTTTTGGGGCCTTTATAGGAGATCACATGAAATTTCAGATATATTAGTATCCATCAGCCACTCATGCCTCTCAACATTTATATTATGTTGATTCACTCAGGCACTTTTGACTGAATAAGAACTTCAAAATCCCACCCACGTACTTTGATTTCTTGAAGTCACTTAGGAAACAAGATTACACTGTATTTTCCCACCTCGTGTGGATGCAGCTACAAAACAATTGTGGTTGTATTTTGACTGCTTTCTTTAAAAGTAGCTTTGCCTATTCTTTTGATGCACTCCACTAGGAGCCAAGTGATACAAAACCATATGTGCTAAGGTTAGTATTACTTTCTTTCTCTAGTCCCTAAATGGATTGCAGTATAATTTACGTGAAAATTCAGCATAGAAGATGAATGATAAGCAGAAATCCATTTTTTTATGAGAACAGGATGGGTTGACACCAGGTGACCATCAAAGCCACTCTATTAGTTCTCAACAGGAATGGAGGGGGAGAATAAAGTGGGGAAAACCCTCATGGTTTAAGACAAAGGTGGTTTAAAAAAGCAAAAACAAAGGCTAAATGCAGAAGCAAAAGAAAACAAAATATTTGTTTTCTATGTCCCAGCAGGCAATACCCATACTTACAGAGAAGTAGGGTCTTAACATGCATAGTGGTTGCTCTGCCTCCAATACTGACAATTATTTGCACCCCTCTGTCACTGAAGAGATCCAGATGTGTCCTGTGCCCCTGCAGTCTGATGGCACCAAAGTACACTGTACACCAGTGCCTACCAAGGCTTTTTACTTCTGTGGGTCAGATGTGGCAGGAAATCGAATCCACATGGTCCAGTAAGCCTGGCCATCCCTTTTCTCCTCCTGATCACACAGAAAGAAACAGAGTGCGCCACACAGGACATGCCTGGGGCTCCCTTTCCCTCCCAACAGGACAGGAGAAGACGAATTTCTAACTGCCAAGGTGTTGACCCATAAGGACGAAGATGTACAGAGATGGTCTTCAAAGTTTTGGTGAAGACTTGACTCAAAAAATTGAAGTGTTGATATCTGGGCAATATTATTGCCAAACTGTTAGAATATGAAGCTGGAGCACTAACTCCACATGGCCTGTGTGCGCAGGACATCCTTTGGCTCTTTGGAGACCTCATAATTGTTTAGATCACTGTAGATGACTTTCATCACCACTAATTTTCTCAGAATGGAAGCCTTTGTCTCTGGTAGGTACACATTCCTGGCAAGTTCACAAGATCTTCCTTGAATGGGTACCTTCCTCTCACACTTGAGAAGAACCATCTCCAGACATACGTAAATTGCTGACTCTGTTCCACTCTCTCAACTCTCCGGTTTCTAATGAAGGATCCCAGCTGTTGGATTTCCTTACTCTCCAGCTGCTGACTGCTGCCCTGTTATCCCAGCACTGGAGCAGCCAGGCAAGAATCTGCTCACTTGTCTGGTGGCTATGATCTTCCCACATACCTCGAAATTCTTATGAAGTCAGGGACTGGGTAGGTTTTGCTTCCTGTATGAATTCTCTGACTCCTTTCTCCAATTTGTGTGTGTAAAAGGCATGCTATGAAAACCCAGTGTCCACAAAGGAAACAGAGGAGTCCTGCTCCTTTATTTGAATAAAGGGAGAGAGTCCACCGGGTCATACTTCCTGGGCCATCTCTTGAGGTCCTGAAGGGTGCAGCCTCCTTTAATCCTAAACTCCCAACCATATGTTGCCCTCTTCTTTTACCCATTGGCTGAAGTATAGCCTACCCGAACTGCCTACTACATATTCCCCCTTTGAACTTGTATTGTCTTTTTCCCTTGAAGTTCGGAAGTTCAGGTTGTCTGGTTTCTGTGGACCCATCAGAAGCCCAGACTGTCTGGGATCTGGAATAGACTTGTTGCAGACCCATTTCTCCTAATATCCTAAAGTCTAAAAATTCAAGCTGGATCAAACTGCCTGTGCTCTGTAATAAACTCACAGGGTTTGATGTTCGTAGAGACATTACATGCATTTCTGAGACAATTAACACCCCCTTCTCCTAAAGACCCCCACAGCTGTTTTTCCAACACCTGATGGGCTCTTTCAGACTTAGGGCTTTGTGAAGACATTAAGACCCATGTCTCCTACCATCAGTGAAGAGCCCAAATCCCATCTTCCAGATCCAGTCATTTGTGAAGCCATTAATGCCCTTTTTAAAAAATCATTTGCCAAAGGACCAGCTTCTTCATCTTCTTCTTCCTCCTCCTTTACTAATTGACAGTATGGATCCATTGTTTTCTTCATTCACTGTTTTTGTCTCAGTAGTGGGAGAATTGCTGTAGCTGTTGTTTGGGTTCCTGTCTCAACCGCGTTCCTCTGAGAGTACTGCACTTGTGCTCCATAGGCACAGGCCAGGACCCAGTACAGTACAAGAAGCTGCCGGTTTTCACTGGGATAGGCAAGGCACCTTTCTATTAGTCTGTGGCATGTCAGTTTGCCAGCATAACCTGCCTCTTCAGGTGTAAATTTCCAGGATTTGGTAGGTGATAACAGTCCCACGGACTTGCCCAAATCCTTCCACACACCCTACCACTCCAGACCAGCTGTCCCAGGGCACATTTCATTATTACCTCATCCAAAAATTGTCTTCTCCTAGATCAGGATGACACCGGATTCCATGAATCCGATAATACACTAACAGTGTTAATAAGTAGTATTCAACAGCTCATGTAAGGATGAGCAAGGATCTCTGAGGCCTGCATAATAAAACCATCTGCATTATTCCCAGGTATGGAGAGGAAATACATATCCTTGTGCTCACCACAAGGTATTTCCTCCAGAAGAGCAAGGCCAGAAATGCCAGGGCAAAGGACAGAGCCACTGTTTTTATTAATATGCTCTCAAGCTCAACTAAATAAAGAGATAAGCAGTGCAGCCAACAATTTCTGTGACCTGCATAGGAGCTTGATGCTGAATAGCCGCTATAGCACACTTCATACAAAGTAAGAGATAACTCTTGTTATATCATGCCCCATACTGGGTGTCAAAAAGACTGTAGTGGGTTCACCTTATCTGGAAATCAAGAAGCCATCAAGCTGCTCTGTCATTCCCCTCCTCAGCAGAATCAAGGGGGAAGGAACTGAGATGGAAAAAACCCTCAAGGGTCAACATAAAGGCAGTTTAACAAAACAGAAGCTCAATCAAAGGTAAGAAACTACAAAAGATTGTTCTCTACTTCCCATCAGCAAGCAACATCCAGCCACGTCCTAGAAAGCAGGGCTTCAGTATGTGTAGTGGTTGCTCTGGAAGGCAAACGTAAATAATGAATGCCCCACCTTCCTACTCCTTTCTATTAGCTTTTATATTTGAATAGGCGTCACATGTTCTGGAATATGCTTTTGACCAGTTTAGGCCAGCTGTCCTGGCTGTGTCCCCTCCCAAGGCCTTGTGCACCCCTAGCCTGCTGGTGAAGGAGGAATGTTGGAGAGATGAGTGGCCGAAGCACTGGTGTGTTATCAACACTTTTTAGCTCCCAAAGCAAAGCATAGCACGGTGAGGGCTGCTGGCAGTGAAATTAAGTCCATCCCAGCCAGCTCGGATACAGAGAAAGACTTGCAGACGATAATACTCAATGCCAGAGAAAAAGTCCATCAGGAACATAGTTCACAGAGAGATGAATTATTGAACGATCTCCTGTGAAGTATTCATCTTTGACTTATTGATCCACTTTTCACGGTGTGAAAAGACCATGGAAAACAATAAATTAGCAAACAATTGCATCGCAGGAGGAAAAGCTTTCATTCCCCAGGTGATCCTTGCACAGTGGAAGACCAAAGGAGCCACAGCTTCCTCTGAGCGGGGGCTGTCGTGAGAAGCCAGAGGGACAGCACGGCGCCTCAGGACGCGGGGGTGCCCCTGGCGCGGACGAACGCTGGTTTTCCAAGTATCCTGACGGCACGGCTACGTCATTTTAAAAAATGGCACTCTATACACTTCCTGTTGCGGAGAGACCCCAGAGCCACTCCACAGCCACTTCCTGAACGTTTCAGCACGGAGTTGGACACCCGATACCTCATGCCCCCGCCACACTCGCTTCTGCGGGTCGGGACGCAGGGGACATCCTCCACGGGAGGGGCGGTCTCGTTTCGATTCCCCTAATCCCACAGTGACGCGAGCGGCAGGGGTGGGGCGCGGGGCGGAGAGTTTAGGGGCGACAAGCGGAGTGGGCCCCTGCGGCGGGAGACGGGCAGTCAGGTAGGTGTGCTTCCTCGGCCATCCCTTGTACCCCCCTCACCCTCCCCGGTAAGGGCAGCACCGCTGTCGGCCGCCCTCCGCTCCGTGCGGGATGCCGGGGTGCGGCGGGCGAGCCGCCGCGTCGAGAGCTGCCCGCGGCTCTTGCGCTGCTCCATCGATGCTTCGTGCAGCGTGAGGGCAGCCGCGGCCTCTTGGGGGTGGCTTCCCATTTCGGTGGAGCTGTTAGGAGCTTCCCGCATATTGGAGTAGTTCCTGAGAGGGGACGTGCTGCCCCGGCGAGGAGCGTGGGTGTGGGATTTGGCGTATGGGCAGCGGGGGTGGCTGTGCTGGTTGGGAAGCCTGCCAGGGAATGTGTGGGGTGATTGAAGGAAACGGAGAAGAGTGCATCCTTGCTCCGGCCACGCATCTGGGAGTGTGTATTGGCCTGGTATGCTTTGCGCGTAGGAGCTGGGGGAGATGTGATGCCGCGTCTGCTTGAAAAGAGGAAGAGCTCCTTCAGCATAGCCTGGAGCGAAGCATTGTCTTCAGTGGTTTTGGATCCTTTCCCTGAAAAGCAAAACACTTGTACAAGGCCATGGAGTGGTCACTTAACAAAACAGACTTTTTCAGCTGGAAAGGAGTTGGAACAAAGCGTGCACTGTAGAGGAATAAATGCAGAAGCATCTCTCACCAGCTTTTGTAATTTTTTTAGCGATTTACAGAGAATTAATTTCAGATTTATTGCGAATGGGAAGAGATTTTGCTTTCCCATTAAAACATGTCAGAGGAAGTATTTCCTATCAGTGTTTTTTTTACCAACGTGCAATTAAATTTGTCAAGCATTGGCTGTGTACTGCACAAGCTTGAAAGCCTTGATGTTAGGGCAGTCTTGGTGTTTTGGTCTTCGGGTATTTTTCGTTTGTTTTTTCCTCATTCCAGAGCCAATACCCTCTATACAAAGGAAATATGAAGGCTGTTTGTTTCTCTTACCCTGTCATAGAATCATAGGAAATGCTGAGTTGGAAGAGACTTATCAGGATCAGAGTCCAAGTCTCCACCTCGTACAGGACTCCCACCCTAATAATCACATCATGTGCCTGAAAGTGGCCTTCTTAACTCAGACAGGCTTGGTGCTGTGACCACTTCCCTTGGGGAACCTCTTTCTAATGTCCAGTCTGAAACTTCTCTCACTCAGCTTCAGTCCATTTTGTCAAATCCTGTTGCTGGTCATCAGAGTGAAGAGATCAGTGCCTGTCCCTCCTCTTTCCCTCATGAGGAAGTTGCAAAGAGACCTCCCCTCAGTCTCCATCAGGCTGAACAGACCAAGTGACCTCAGCTGCTCCCCATACAGGTTCCTCTTCAGATCCTTCATCACCCTTGTGGTCTCCTTTGGATGCTCTCTGGCAGCTTAATATATTTTTTATTTTGTGGTGCCCAAAACTGCACGTAGTATTCAAGGTGAGGTCACACCAGTGCTAAGAAGAGCAGGACAATGATGACCGGCACATTGCCAGGCTGAGCAAACAACTGCAGGAGTGTAAACAACTGCCTCTTGGACTGAGGTTAGGTCTTGTATGGCTGAGCTAAACTAGACATGTCAAGATTGTTGTTATTTCAGAGAGAAACAGATTAACTTTTCCTGCTGTTGTGAGGTTTTGGTGGTTTTTGTGTTAACACAGTAATGACACTGTGAAACAGAATATTGAACATGCTTTTGCATCATTTTTTTTTTGTATATAAAATGGTAAATGTAAGTCTTTTCTTAATTTACTGGAAATCATAGGTATTTGTATGTATAAAGAGATGTGTTTCTTGAAAAAGCAACTCCAGACATATGGCTCAACTGTATGTTTTCTTAGGTATGACTTGTTACTGGTAGGTTACAAAGAGGGAAGAATCATTTGAAGCTGAAGGCAAAGAAGCTTATTTTGTTTCCCTTAACAAAACAGGGTGTGCTGGGGAGCAAGGCCAGACCTGTTGCTGCTGCAAGCTGTGAAACAGTCTTCAAGGAAGGCTAGTCACATGTGCTTGGCCTGAATTCAGCTTGCAAGGAAAGGAGGAAGGATGTTCTGAGGTGTCATTTGGTTTTGGCTGGGATAGAGTTAATTTTCTTCCTAGTAGCTGATACAGTGCTGTGCTTTGGATTTAGGATGAGAATAATGTTGATAAAACACTGATGTTTTTGTTGTTGCTAAGCAGTGCTTATCCTAAGTCAAGCATTTTGCAGCTTGTCACCCCAGTGGAGAGGCTGAGTGAGGGCACAGAAGGCTGGGAGGGATGCAGCTGGGACAGCTAACCCAAACTGTCTGAAGGGATATTCCATACCATAGAATGTCACGTTGGTCTATCATGTTTCTGTTGCCTTGTCCATGGATGTGAAACTCTCGTTTCCCAGGGTCCTAAGTAGGTACAGAGCTGGTGTCCTGGGTTGTGCACACTCATCTCTTTTTGTGAAAGGTGTTGTTTTGTTCCTAGTGATATGCTTCTGACGTCCATTTCCTTGCCATGTCACTTCCTTGCCTAGTACCTTTCCTGTATGCAAGCGAACCACAAATCCCTGCTCTAAAGATTAGTAACATTTCAGTGTCCACTTCTTGAGGTTTTGCATGGCTTTGTCCTTGTCAGCAGGGCTGGCCCAACTTTTGGCTGGGTTTGGGTCTTGTTTCTGTAGTCCTGTTTGGTGGTCATGTGTCTGAAGAAACACTCACAGCCGAGCTGTGTCAGCCGTGAATTTGGTTGGAAACATCAGGTGGCTGGGCTTTGTTATTAATAACAATTCCTTTCTGACAGTTTGCATAAACAGAAAGCAACATACAGTGGTAATCTGAAAAAGGAATACCTTGGGAGGTCATTCAGGCCAGTTCTGCCCAGAAAAGGGCCCTAGCTCAGAGTCTCGTGTGTGTATTCTGCTTATACCCATTGTTTCATTCAGAGCTTGCACAAATCTTCCCTCATGGTTTGTATGTGGTGTTTGAGGTGTTAACAGGCCTTTGAGACATCTGTGCTAATTGCATCCTGGGTTGCATTTGCCAAATGTTGATAAGGATATTTGTCTTGTTTCTTACAATGTCTGTGCCCTACAATTATCAGTTTATTACAGAGCACCTTTCCAAGGAAAAATTTGATATAAAATGAAGAGCAGCCTGGGATGTTCTGTCTCACTCTGTCTCTCTCACCCCAGCCATTTAACATCTTTTGAAAATACAGCTAAAACTTAGAAGTCTCACAGCTGACTTCCAAAATACAGAAATATTGCTTGCCTGCAGACCCAGTTCAGGTGAGAATTCCTTCTCAATAGTGAGAGATGCTTTGTGCTGTCAAGGTATACTGATTCAGTGTGGTACTGCATTGGTGAAGCTACAGAACAGTAGCTTGAATTCCCCTAGTACTGCTTCTGCCTGAAAACTTAGGAAGGAAGAGTATCTAGAGAAGCAAAATTCTGGAAGTGGTGTTGATGGTTGCCTGTGATGGAGGTTGTGTGCAGGTCTCCAGTTCAGACTGAAACAACCCGATAAAATGTTCTCTCTATTCACTTACCTGGGAAATGGTTTTCTTTGTCTTTTTAGAGGCAAACAGCTCCAGAGAACCATGCTGTCTTTGTCTTTGGAGTACTGTGATATATAGGACACTGACTGGCCCTAGAGCCCAGAAGCAGTAAAGAAACTTCATTTGGTCCAGTTTGTGCTGAGTTCAGGACAACATTATGATAAGAAGCTATCACTAGGCTGCTCTGCTTGCCCTAATCTAATCCAAATCTGCTCTAGAATCTCTTTTATTTTCCAAGGGGTGCTGGCTTTTACTGGGAGCAAAGAGTCTTTGGCACTTCCAAGGTCTGGTACAAATCTGGCAAAGTGAATTCTTACATAATTTTATTTCTTTTTCTTGTTTTATAGGACTGAGTGAGAATCTATAGATAAGGCTATCTCTGTGTATCTATCTGAATATATCCCTAATCATAGGGATGTCTGATGATGAACTGTCTAAATTAGAGGCTCTTCATTTGAGTTGACCAGTTTCTCCAACATGAGCTGACATTTTACAAGGGCTGAATATGAGATCTTCATGTTCATTGTCATCTTCTTCAATATCTCTCTTCATGAGATACTGGCTGAACATTTGATTAAAATATTCAGACAGTTGCAAATGCTACTATGACCTTTTTCAGACTAAACAGATCCATGAGGATATCCATGTCTAAATTTCAGCTTCTTTTTTCTCTTCTACATGAGACTTTCAAATGTGTCTGCTTTAGCCTGGTCAGTTCTAAGCTCTTCATTTTTGTCACTGCTGTTTCTTCAGGACCTCCTCTGAAATACAGGTGATTCCAGATTTTTCATTTGATTTTTCATTTTCAGCATGCCATGGAAAGCTGAGAGAAGTAAATTTTTCCCTGCTTTTCACTGTCATGGTTAGGCTTACACACATTGAAAGGAGACTGTGTTCTCTAAATATGTCTTTGGTATCTGCTGTTGTCATGAAAACAGATAAAACTGGCTGGCAGGCAGAGGACTACCATAGTTGTGGCCACTTACAGCCTTCTAGGCCTGTATTTTTCTTCTTTCACTGGGTCTGCCCTGACATTCACATATATCTATATCAGGTCGTGAGGAAAGTGTCATTTGGAAGACCTGAATGCAATATCCTTTTCCTGGGTGACTGCAGGGCTGCTTGCACGGATCATGCCAGTGGTGGGCATGCGGTTGCAGGGGTTTCTCTGGTGTAGCAGAAGGGGTGACATGGCAGTTCTTTCTTGGTGGCATCATGGTCTTAGAGCCAGCATGCTTTTGTTGAACAAGAGCTAATGGAATCCTGAGGTTTTCTTTTGAGAAAACATGAATTATTCGAATGCTGATAAAATGTATTTAGTTGTAACTCAGCCACAGTGTAAATGCATTGTTGGGCTTTTTCTCTTCCTACCTATTGCCAATTTGTAACTCTGCCTTTTGGGTTAATGAGCAAGAAGGAATGATTTGCCTGCTTAATAGGACTGAGGAAGGCACAGTCTTTAGAAGTCAGATTTC